AGAGAGAGAGAGAGAGAGAGAGAGAGAGAGAGAGAGAGAGCGAGAGAGAGAGAGTCGGGGGAAGTCTCGCTAGGCAACATTATCTGGCTACGCGCGCAGTAGCAGCCGTCAGCAGAAGCAGCGGCGAGGTCGTCGGAGCCTTATCCCGTAAATGTGTATTTAAAGCGCTACAAAAACAAATACTATAACAACAGCGACAGCAACAAGAAGCGACTTCCCGAATGCTATTAACTAGTTTGGTGATTGTGGTCAAGAAGGTCGTGGTAACGTGGCGCCATCATGAGCCCACAGTAAAATCTTAATCTAGTTAATCTAATATTAACCTATAATCGTTAACCTATGACGTTTAACCTATTAATCTAGTTACTCACTAGTCACTCGGTCTGTCCGATATCGTGGATTCGCGTAGAGTAATGGTGGCCTACTCGGATATCTGCCTCATTTACTGCAGGGATGCCGCACTAGTTGCCAGCTCGTTTCTATTTATTAGGTTCTGCGTGATTGCCTATACTCGCATGCAGGCATTTCTGCGTACTTGCCACTTACGTTGCCAGCATTACGTTGGCTGCTCGTGTTCCTACTATTACGAATTCGCCGGGGAGGGAAAAGGGGTCTACATCTGTATGCGAAATGCAAACACGAACGCTCTATTTACTGCCCCTTAGTTAAAGCCTCTTTATATCTCTACGAGTGAATTCTAGCACAATTACCATAACAGCGCGCTCTCGCGCAGTGGCGGTGATAGCACGGGCCACTACAGAATCCTAATGGAATAAAATCGAACGTAATAGGTTTTCACGACAGAGCCCACCATCGGCAAGCCCCGCGCATGTTAGACAGACACCACCGTCTGTGCGCGCGTGCGGACGGACAAGCATACCTTCGTGGCGCGACAGTCTAGATGACGGTTAGAGGACTAGCGTAACCGGCAACGACCGCTAAAGCGCAAAGGACATGTTTCTGATCTCTTTCTTTTTTTCTTTCTTGCTTTCTTTCTTTCTTACTTAGTCTTCCCCTTTCTCTTGCTCACCTCCGGCGCGCGCGCCCTCTAACGTACGATCGCGTCCACACCACGAGCATCTCAGGCGTTAGCAACGACGAAACGCGGAGGCAGCCAGACACAGTCATACTGTACATCCGTCAAGCGGCCGAGAGAGCGGAGAGCCCTCCCCACGCTCGCAGCGTTCAGCGCAAATAGCGATCAATAGTTATGCTTAGCAAAATCGGCTGAACTGCTAAAGAAGGCGACGGCGCAGAGTCGCGTCGACCCAAGCCGACAAACAAAGAGGACGAGCGCGAGAATCAGACGCTCTCTCTCTCTCTCTTTCTCTCTCTCTC